ACAAAGCGTCCGGAGCTGATGGCATGCCTGTAATAGTCCTTAAGAATTGTGCTCCAGAACTGCCTCCCGTTCTCTCCAAACTCGATTATAAATGTCGCTCTGCCTTTTGCTTTCCTATATGTTGGAAATCCTCATCTGTTGTTCCAGTTTTTAAGAAGTCAGGTGAATCGTCTGATACTTCCAAATATCGCCCTGTTAGCATACTACCTCTTTTTAGGAAACTTCTAGGGGCCCTAATCAATGCTGAATTGGTTCAGCATCTCACATCGCAAGGCCTTCTTTCAGACAAGCAATATGGCTTTCGTTTCTGTAGGTCAACTGCTGATGTTCTAACGATAATTGCAGAAAGTCTATCTAGCTCTAGATAAGAATGGGGATGATCAGGCTGTTACTTTGGACATGTTCAAAGCTTTCGACAGGGTTTGAAATGCAGGTCTTCTTCACAAACTGGAATGTTATAACGACACCGGCCAAATTTTCGAACTGATCCAGTCTTTCATCTGCAGGAATTTCTAGAGAGAATACATTGGAGAAACCTCAAGAAGTTTAAACAAAAGACTATATAAACACAAAAGGGACATGTTAAAAAAAACAATACACAAAACACATTGGTTGTTCACCATAACGAAACTGGCCACAATTTTGACAGAGAATGCTAACCTGATTAAATGAGAAAATAATTCACTAAAACGAAAATGTCTGGAAAGTGCCTTGATCGCGCAGTTCAGTCACCGAAAATATGCTTCTAGGTTCTTACAATATATTACCATTCCTGGTAGAGTTGCTGTAGTAAAAATTTGGGATAGTCAGGGACAAAGGTGATGGAGTGAAAAAGAAAAAGAATACAGATGAATTGGGCTAGATTGAAAAAAATATTCTTTCAAAAAATTTGAAACTACCAGCGTCTCTCGTTTCGTGAACATGTGTAGACATGGCAACATCAACAAAGCCCTAACGGATGAAATGCCTCACAAAACAGTTTTTCCAATTTGTCATATATATATATATATATATATATATATATAAACACACATGCACACACACACGCATATATATATATATATATATATATATATATATATATATATATATAAAAGAAAATAAAAGCCCTAATATAAAATCCAAACGGATCCTAGTAATATAAAATATTAAAACTGATCCACAAAATGAACACATTATATTTATTATTACAGAGCAAATAAATAGTAGTAAACAATGAAATTCCAAATTACCTCATATGTGGAATAGACCGATTTCAACCAACGAAAACGTCAGTCTTATTCAACCCCGGTATATAGAGCCTATATATAATGTTTATATACCGGGGTTGAATATGACTGACAAGTTTTCGTCGGTTGAAATCGCCCGTCATTCAATATATGAGGTAATTTTGGATTTCATTATGTATTAATCACTTTCTCTCTCTCTCTCTCTCTCTCCTCTCTCTCTCTCTCTCTCTCTCTCTCTGTATATATATATATATATATATATATATATATATATAAGACTTTATCAGCTGTTAACATTTTCGAATTATACACAGCGTTTTTAAATTGCCCTTTTGCCATGATAACAACTTTTATAGAGATTATTTTAAAACTAATCTGATGCTGTCCTTACAAAGAGAAACGTTAACAACTCATTAAAAAAATTTGAAACATCCAGTTCCATCTTGCATGCTTTGTTCTGATATTTCATATCAGTCATATATGTATGTATGTATGTGTGTGTGTGCGTGTGTGTGTGTGTGTGCGTGTGTGCATATGTAAATATATATTTAGTCTATTGTGTGTCAGGTACGATTCAGTGGAATCAATAGGCAAGTGGCGGGTAAACTGATATCTAGTTTAGCGTTTTTTTTTTTTTTTATATTACCCGGACAATACAAAGTTGAACATAACAAGACTATACAAGATCGTAAATAGAGGAACAAGGTAAATAGGTTAATTTTAACAGTGACTCAAACAGATAAAAATGACATCAAAATTTGTTTGAAATTTGGGAGCATGTGGAGTATGCGTGAGTGTGAAATAGACAGCAGTCCTATCCAAATATGATACTATCGTACTGAAAATATAATTTAGTTATTTTAAAATGTTTGTTGCCTTTGTTGAACCTCAAAAACCTGGAGTGGATGAGTGCTCTGTATTTGATTTGATAGCTATATTCTGGAGTTGGTAAAATATTACAAGTTGCCAATAGTGACATAAGCGCTGGTGCGTACCGGAGGAGAGAGGCAAACTTGATTTTGGGTCTGGGCAGTGCATTGTGAAAAACGTTATCTTATCGACATTTGCCTTTTCTATCTACATTTATATTCGTTACAAATTTAAACTAAGAAAAACTATTAAAGGAAGAAAAATTATCGTGGATTTTGACGTCATTCTGTGGAAAATAGTGTTTAATGCTCAATAAATTTAATTTTCAATTGTCTTATTTCTTTTCTTATTTCGCTTACTTTACGCTGTTTTAGTTTTTTTTTAAGTAAGGCATTTCTGAAAATTCCTTCTACATTCTGTACAACTGAACAAAGATTTGATGACGTCATCAAATTGATGACGTCATGAATTGCTTTGTCTCCTGAGTCCCAGTCCTCTTCATCATCCTTCATATTTTCACCGTTATCGGAAGAATTTGATTCTTTTTCTATTTGTTGACAATCGAAATCATTTTGAAGCGATTCTGCAGTTGAATTCTTTTCTAATTCATTAGCCTTCTCCATTTATCTATTCTTTTAAGTCATCCAAAGTGAAAATATTCAGTGGATCATCTTCAAGCGTAAGTTTTAGTATTTCGTTCACATTCTGCAATTTTTGTTTGTTAATTTGCAAATTCAACGACTTAGGAGTTTCGTCCAGTTTTTTCAATAATCTCTAATTTCTGGCCTAACGTGAAAGAATTACTTTTTTTCTTTTTTCTTCCAGTTGAAGTTTCTTCTGTGCGAGAAATTTATGGGTTGAAAAATTTCAACTTGCTAACAATTATCTGCAAAGAAACGAAAAATATTAAAATGTCACATATTCCTGCAACATCTAAATGGCAAAACTGAGAAATTCGGATATGAGGATTTCTATTGTATTAATAAATTTATTTAAAAAGTATTTGAAAAAGATCGTTTTAGCAAATCTGCGTAAAACACTGGTATTTTTTGATGTTATTTAAATAGATTGGTTGAGGCATCAAAACCTAAGGACAGATATTCGCAGTCTTTAGTTTTTTTTTTTTTTGTGGATTATTATCTTATTTAAGCTTTTTCAGGTTTTCAAACACAATAAAGCATTCTCTAATAAGGAAGAGGTGATCGTAGCATTTGAACTGTTTATTACATCAAAAGATGAGAGGTTTTTAAAAGATGGGATCAAGAATTTAGATGTACAGTCATCAACATGGTGCCTATTTTGAGTAAATAAATTAGTTATTTAGCATTTCCGAAGCGTTTTATTCATTTCCTATAAAAGTGCCTCATTTCACGTGTGAAAATCTAATACAATAATAGGTACGGTTACCTTATCTTAATTCTTCTTCTTTCTAGTCTTCCTTCGAATTCATTCTTTACCGCCGTAATTATCGGCATATTACGTGTGTTTATTAATTCCATTTTGTCAAGTGGTTTACTCAAGTCTTAGTCTTCATCCAGGATCCTATACTCACTGAACATTAAGCACGGTTTTTTCTTTAATTTCTTCTACCAAAAAATCATAAAATGAAACATTCTGTTCAATGTTGAATTTATATTTATCGTGAATTACGTATTTGTCATATTTTGAAATTTGCTTATCATGATTTATATATTTATTTTGAAAACCTATCCTCAAATGAATCAATTGATCGATTTGAAATTAGTTGTCAACTATTTCAACAAAACCGATAAAAGGCAATGACCGGGGATCTTTTCTATTAATTCTCCCCAGATAATCTAATGTCACTTATCGCAAATATTAATTCATTCCAATCACCTGCGCCTATCATATTTGGTAAACATTCATTTATTTCCTTCCAAAAAAAGAGAAGAAAAAAGTGATACCTATGTTTGAAAATACATTTTAAAAATGAAAAATGTTTAATTTTAGTTTCCTGTTTAGCTCCAAGATTAAATTTAATATTTTTAATGAGCAAAATATTTTGCTGTATTTCAAACTGAATTTAAATTGATTGAAATGATTTTAAAAAGATCCTTTTATTATCAGTAAAATTGAAAAATTCATTTAGTCGTCCACAAAAGAAAAAACAAATCTGTCAACTCATCATATCTTTTTTTAAAAATTCTTTCAAAAATAAAATATAAAAATAAAATAAAATTTTACTAAAACTTTATTTATTGAAGATTAACTAACTTAAAGTTTAAGTATTTTAAGATATGGGCGTTTTTTCTTTATATATAATCATGTTTAGCGATTCTTTGGAGATACCTACATTTGTTGCGTCATATTCTACATAAGTTATTTAGGTTTAACAATAATAACAACAGAAATATAGAAAATACTTAATTTTCATTTATTTGAAAAGATTGCCGAAAATATAAAAGTTTTTTTTTTAAATAAAAACGAAATTATGCAACAAGGGAAAAATGAAGAAAAGCAAGGATATTACGGGGAAACATTCAAGCGTTCGCAGAAAAGATGACGTCATTGTAAGGTGTTGCCAAGCAAACAAAGTATAAATTGACTGAGGCTAAATGCAAAAGCTACAGTCGATGTTTTACATTTGGACACAAGCGTCTGCCTCACCATGCGTTGTTCTATCGAAGTATTACTGCTAGCTTTTCTCGCCACGTTATTTCGCCAGAGCGCTGAAGCGGAACTCACAACTAAGCCGAGTGAAATCATCGGGGGAATAAGAAAATTACTGATTCACGAGAAAGAAAACACGGTAAACAAGACAAATATTCCGGACTATAATATATTCGGTCAAATAATAAGCTTCCTCAATTGTGGACCATTTCCCCTTTCACCAAACAGCCACTTGCAATATTCTTTCGATTTTGCCACAAAAAATCTCAGATTATTTCAGACATGTGATCGATACTACCAAACGGACAAAAAAAATGAATCTTTACAAATTCAATGCAAATATAAAAAATGGATCTTTAACGAGATTGGCTGTGAAAAAGTTACCTGCCCTCTTCTGACACCGCCACCCGGCGGTTACATTTCAACTAACGCCAATACTTTCAACACAACAGTATATTTCTGGTGTTCCCGCGGTTTCAGTATTAACGGTACAGATAAACTGTCCTGTGAAGAAAATGGTCGCTGGAACTTGCCACCACCGACATGTCACGTGTCATACTGTCACCCGATTCCACCACCCCGATATGGTTCCGTGTCCAGCCAGGAAGAAATAGCTGTCAATCAAACTATTGAATTTAGCTGCCAAAATGAATATTCTTTAATCGGAGATGCCATTCTACGATGTCAAGACGATGGCAGATGGAATACTGTGGCACCAGTTTGCAAGAAGATGTGTACTGTTCCTAATATTACAAGTCAATCGGAAGGTATACGCTTGATTCCCGGATTTAAGGAACTTTCGGTCGGTTCTCTGCTCGAACAGAGCCAACGTGTCATTTTCTCCTGCAAACCTGGCTATACAGTATCTTCATCTGGTCTTTCCACCTGCATTGGGGGAACCTGGAGACCACCGATTACCTGCAGAAAAATGTGTGCCGCGGTAGAAATAACGAACGGGAAATATAGTTTATCGAAAGATTACTCTACTATTGAATATTCTTGTCTGCCTGGATACCAGCTCGTCGGTCGGCAAAAACTAACGTGTATGTCTAACGTAACGTGGGACAGTGAAGCCCCTATCTGCACCAAAATGTGTACGCTTTCTAAACGGAACGAAGTGTTGTCTTTCCGACAAAAAGCAACGTATGAATTCATCCCTTTTGGAACGCAGATTATTAATGGAACACAAGTGTATTCTATATGTCGATACAATACATCAATGAGCAGTGTTGTAGAATGTATGAATGGCGAACTCAGTCCCATGTCATGTAAAGACCCAAGAGTAAGACTCTCAGGAGCGTATTTACAAATTTTTGATAACCAACAATGGAAATATATTTGCACATCTACACCTGACACTTGCAGTGTATTTGGTTATAGCCAACAGCTCAATATTAGATGTTCACAGTGTTCCACTATAGATTTGGATGTTTATCGTAAAACATCGCGTATTGTCTTGCAGACTCGTCAGAGCTACTACGGATATCAGCAATACGACTGCGTTACGTGCATTCATAAAATCGTATTCTAATTTGTTTTTTTTCAAAAATCGAAAAAAACAAACTAATTTTTGTTTTTTTAAAATAACATAAACAATCTTTTTTTTTTTATAAAAACAGCTTCCTTCTGCGGCTAGATTAAAAAAAAACTGATAAAGATTCACGCGTGTTGTTTAGGATAGATACAGACCTTTGCCGAATTCTTTAACATAGGTAACAAATATATAGATTTTGAAAGAATATAATCGTAGTTATTAGAAAATACTTGACCTATGCAAAAAGAAAGCGGTCCGTGCACCATGAGGATAAATTGAAACTCCTTGTTTTTTTAATTTTTAATTTTATGTAATCAGAAATTTCTCCTTAAATACAAAATAAAATCATGATTTTCCGCGATTGTTACAGAGACTCTTGCAAATAGAGTGGCTCTCGGGTCTGTATTTGTGATGTCTTCTGAAGGAGCACAGCATCTGTATTTTTGATTCAACCTTTGAAACTCTAAATGAAATGGACATATATCATTGTACAGGCTTTCAGAACGGTACGAAATGTTATCTTTGGAAAAAAAATGGCACATGGGCAGTGTTGGAATCAAGAGTTTTTATTTGAAATTTACTAATATTCTGTAATTCTACAAAAAATGACTTACCATTTAGTAAAAGAGAATATACAGTTGATTTTTATTTGTTTCTCATAAAATTTTAGACATGTCTCTAAAATTTGAATCATAGCTCAACGATGTTAAAATGTTACAAATTATTAATTCTGTATTGATTTTTAACTTCGGTATTGTTAAATATTTGGATTGAAATTGTCTATTTCTAAAATGTCATAAGTCTTTTCTCTGTCGCTTCTATCAATTAAAATTTTGCAAAATATACTTTTTTTTTGTTTATTTATCTTTTGAAAAATGTCTCCTATTTGAAATATTCATCGAAAAGACATTCGTACACGATTTTAACACCTCACAAAATGTAACTCCAACGAACATCTGCTTTTTGTCATATTTTTGCGTGAATCACAATCATATGTCGTAAACTAAAAACTGTCTGTCATAATTGTGGTAGAAACGCATTCAAAGATCATAATAAGTTTTTTGTTTATTGCTTAGAATGACTAAAAGCAGTTGAAGGGTATCAGACGGAAGATAAATCGTTTTAAAAGATATTACTGGTATTAAAATATAACCATCTTTTTTTACATGTTTTAATTTACAAATTCATTATTTTGAATATTGATCTTTGAATTCGATCTTTAAAATAACTTTTGTTAATATTTATCCTATAAAATTAGAAACAAAATTGAAGACAACAGAAAAAAAATGATGAAATTTGATTTTTGAAAAACTTACTTTTCGGGAATTAACTTTTTGTTTGATGCTTTGGCGACCATCATTAGTGATGTTTTTAGTCGAGATTCATTAGAGGTTTCTGATCTTTCAACATCATACCAACTCTCTTGCTGATAACATAGTATTAATACTGGGACAATACACCAGAGTTCTAGCGGAGGGTTTAAAATCCATCCAATCTATAATTATTTTCTTGCATGTTCGCCAAAAGATCTGAACACCAAAACATCCATATAGAATAAAACGCAGACCCCACGCGATCATTTGATTTTTGGCATAAACCTAAATTCGACGAGTTTTTCAAACGAGTATAGGTTAACTATATATATATATATATATATATATATATATATATATATATATATATATATATATATATATATATATATATATATATATATGTATGTATGATTATACGTTATTTTATTAGATAATTTTGCATTATAAAACAGACTGTCGCCTCTAAGTAATATTTCCACACGCTGTATCTCTGATATTGGGAACTTTTATCCCATACATACATACATATATATATATATATATATATATATATATATATATATATATATATATATATATAATTATTTATTTAAAATTCCTTATATTTTAGATTCCAAAAGTAGAGCATAAATATAATTATTTATTTAAAAATATGATTCCAAATCGCTACATAAGAGGTCTCATGTTTCAAAAACAGAGCCGAAAACTTTCAATATAATCCTTTAAATCCTAAATTGAGTTGAAATTAAAAGGGGCTCCGTTCCATCTTCAAGAAATTTTTGTTGGAATAACGTATATCTGAAATTTATTGTTTTAAAAATTTCAAAATCACTATGGTAACAGCTAGGGTATTGTCTAAAATGGGTATATTGGGTGTTTATAATAAGTAGCGGTCTTTCATCCCATAAAAATATAAGATGTATTAAGCTTTCGTCAAGTTGGCTTGTCTATGGAGATTTATTTATTTATTTTATTTTATTATCTTATTGAGCATATAAAAAGAAAACTTTCGTAACGTTTGTTTTTTGACGACTTCATAAAGGGTATCTTTTATGTATAAACTACTAATTTGGGCTATGGATTATGAAGGGTGTTATGTTGTATGCATGTTTGTATTAATATTCCTACTATGAATCTGATGATTGGGTTATTTGTTAAACAAGTTATATAAATTTTTTATCTATTTCAAACCAAAAATCTGATGATGCCTACAAAAAACCGTTAACTCGTGTCTATTATTTAATAGATTATTATTATTTAAATAGTTAATGTGCAATTTTTCATGGAGGCACAAAGGGCATGGGTCATCCCAATGATATATATATATATATATATATATATATATATGTGTGTGTGTGTGTGTGTGTGTGTATGTATATTTATTTTATTAGATACAAAGAAATTTCTCGACATCAATCAAATGAGGATTCTCATTGGGGTCTCAGGTTCTATACTTGTCGGGGAAGCGCATATTTTATAAGAAATTTCTCGAATATTCAAGCCGGTAAAGGTAATTAAATTAATACTGTTTGTTTAAAAAAAACTTAGCGTTTAATTAAATAAATTGTGACAAATAAAATAACGTATGAACAGAAAATATATTAAATAAATGTGAAACTAAATATATATATATATAAATGTAGGTTTTCGTATATAATTAATTCTAAAAATATGGTTTTTCGTTTTTATTTTCCTAAAAGTTTTATCGTAAGAAAAACGTTATCTATCTATCTGTCTGCCTGTCTGTCTATCTATTAATAAAAAGATAGAATGAAAAAAGACCAAAATGAATTTTTTTCATGCAATTATTTTTTTTTTAAAATTTTTAAAATTTTTTATTCCTTTCAAGCACGTTTGAAATTTTGGTTGAAAATCTTTTTTTTTTAAAAGACAGCACTGGCGCAATATTTACATTTTTTTTTTTTTTTCAAAAAATACATTAATTTGGAAATTCTTGCAAAAATCAAATCGTTGTCAAAGTTTAATGAAACTTCCATAACTTATTTAAATATGAATGGAATTATTTTAGAAATGTATGTTTTTTAGAAAGTCATCATAAAAATTATTTTTTTATAACTGTTACCCCTTCCTTACTTAATTTTCTGAAAACTCAAAAACTCGAATATGTATACTTTTGTAATTTTTTTAATTAAATGCAGAAAAATTTGAAGAATATAAATCATCAATTGTCTTTGTAAATCGAGGAATGTTTCTATCCAAACTTTAGCTCTGAATTGTAAAATACAAAACCCAATAAAACTAAGACATTATTTAATTAAAAAAATGCTTTTAATGGCTTTTATGAATAAAAGGACATTATTCTCTGAAGCCAAAATATTTTTCGATGAAAATGATTTTTTACTAGAACTGTTTTCTTTTTTTTCAATTTGAAATACAAAATGTGATAAAGTTGTAAAATATTTTAAAATTAATTTGAATATGTGTATCTCTGTAGATGCTCTTATTAAAAGACGTATTGCTACAGATCTTAAATTTGGAGGTTTATTACAATCTGTGAAGCATTTCTATTTTTGCAATCATTTTTTTAATATGCCAAAAAATGTATTAAAAATGTTTCCGGCAAAACTACGGAGGTACAATTCAGAAATAATGTCTCGTGTTTTAAGAGTTGTTTCCCCTGGTAGTGAGGATCCGTTCAAATATTGCGTTAATTTCGTATCAAATTCCGACCATCAAAGTCGCATTTGCAAGATTTTTAATTCTATTTTTTTGTTTCATATTTCACTAAATATTTTCTTTTAGTTTTTAAATATAATCACTTTTTTTTCCGTGAGAGACATAATCCAATTATTATTTTTTTCTTTTTTAGATTCAATTTTAGATACCGAAACATTGCAAGCTTTGCACATATCTTCGTTAAAAATAACTAAAAAAATTAATAAAATATCAGATTTTTGAAAGAATTTAATTTTTAAGGATTACCTACTAGTTAAATAAGATGGTTCACTTAAAATTCGAAAATACTGTCACTTCTGTCCTTCCGTTCGATAAATTGCCCTGACGTTAGTTGTCGATACATTGATGTAAATGTCAATTCACAACTCCAAAATTAATCATCACGGTTAGACATATCATATTTCCAACTCAATTTTTTCTGCTAAAAATTATGTAATGTTTGTTCCCAATTAAGTACACATTAAATTTTCTAATTTTCCTGAAATAACTTTTGAAAAAAGTATATTTGAATTTTACAAGATTTTTAAAGGGATGATTTCACTTTTGTTTACAAAGTTGTTAAAAATGGCTGACATGATCGATTTTATGTAAATTTTGGTGACTCAAAAAAACAAACAAAAAACAACTAGGTTTTCAAGTAAAATTTAGGATGAACTAGAAAGGATTAAGAAATTTAAAAATATTCAAAAAACACATTGGTCTTTCCTCTTAATAATAATATGAACATTTAGGCGATAAAAAAATTGTTTAATCAAGTTTGGGGCCTTTTTTTTTTATCAGGGTATACACTTTTTTAACGAAATATTGAAAATACATCTATCTATCTATCTATCCACGGTATAATTAATGTATTTCGTACTCGCATGTTTTGAGAAAATGTTCGTTCAACAAAGGATTTGGAAACAGTGGCGAGGTGTGGAATTGGACAGGTGTTAACGGAGCCCGAGTGGGAGAAGGGGAAGAAGGTCCTTGAATCTGGGGCATTGCCCTTAGTCTTTGCCTGCTAAGTAGGAACGGATTGAGACTTGTCTTTGTCCATGTCCCCCCTCCCCGCTATACTTCGTTAGGTGGGCTTTTCCTTTTTCTGTTTTTCTTCTTCCTGTTATTTTTCCTCCATCGTTTTTAAGTTGCTGCTTCTTTTTCCTTTTGCTTTCATTTTTTTTGCTTTCATTGTTGCTGTTGACGCTTCTGTTGTTGTTGTTGTTGCATTTCACTTGGCTTCTGCTGTTGTCGCTTCTGTTGTTCCACCGGTTGCTCTTTTGGCTGCTCCCTCGGTGGGACATCCTGCTTGGGGTTGAGGATAGGGCTTCTGTTGTTGACCTTCGTACTTTAATCACCACCTCCTTGCAGATACCTTCGGGAGCCTTGCCAGACTCTGCCTCCACTGTTGCTGTTGATGATGCTCTTGCTGTTGCGTGAGGTTGTGACGTCATGGTCATCCCGGAGCACGTCTTCGCCATGTTCGCCGAGGCCCTACACGACCAACAATAGGGTCAGCAGCATTCCACCCCCACCATTAGCATTCTCCTTTCTCTACACATTAAAATATTGGGTATGTCCGTAAAGCTTCTGCTGGTCAAAGTCACTTGAAGGACAATTTCACCAATAGCAATTCCTGCCTTGCTTATTACGCACAATACCCCCTCCACTTTTTCTTATTAGGCAAAAAGGCCCCCAGTCGATCCTCTGTAATGTTTACGGGCACCCCATGCACTGTCACTTTTGTTTTCGGGGGCCCATATATTCAGTTTGCAGCCGAAGTGTCTTGGTTGTTAAATTACTTCCTGCTGTTTGGCCTCTTTCTCGGTTGCCAGCAAGACGTCCCACATGGCCCTTGATCTCCTGGCCAATAACTTGGGCCCAATTTTGAAGCTTTTTAGAGCCTACTCCATTGTTTCCTTGCTAACACACATTAAATTCCGACTTTTTACATCGGTCGTCAGCTGGAAAATTGTCCTTGTACTTACTGCGTCCGGAGCCTCAGGTATTGTGTGTAATTTGTTCCCATTGAGAAATTCCTCATACATTTTTTTTCAATTTTGCATAGTACGCAGCGAGTTATTTTGCCTGTTTTCCTTCCAGGCCATCGTTTTAGGGGCTAAACCCTCACATCATGCACGAGTGTTTGGTTTAAGTCCGCCATATGAGTGCAGGCCCTATCCCGACGGTAATACAATTTCCTTTTTTTAATGTTCGCTCAAAAAATTAATTTTACAAAAGAAAATAAAAACTAAAGAATATTTAAACGAAACGAAATTAAGGAAAGAAAAACGCACTAGAGTCCGAGGGTGTGTAAACAAAAGAAAACAAAAGGGAAATTAACAAATTTGGTTGCCAAAACATGTCACACGTAAGAAATAAAATCGAATGAAAAACGGGAGGAGGGGGTAAAATACAAAAATAAAATATACTAAAAATTAAAGTTTATAAACACCCAAAGAAGGAGAAACTGAAAATTAAATGCAAAACGAATAAAAGATAACAGAAATATAAAACGGAAAAACTTAACGTATTTCAACAGTTCAAATTTCTCGTCCGGCGAACTCTGGCTAGACCAAAAGAAAACACGCAGTCGGAGAATTAAAGAATATATTTATTATTGTATAAATACAATAATTGTAGCAGATGGTCTTTGCTAACTGTCCTAGTCCTAGTTAATCACAATCACGACCCATTCATCCAATACAATATATCCATTTCCAACTAGAACTCATCCATCACCAATTAATCCTACATATACCACCACAATATCACATGGGGAACCTAGAAATCACCCCATGATATAAAAATCTCATGAAAGTTCAAAATGTTTAATGACAAAAATATATATAAAGGGAGGGTATGAACCCAGAAAACTAAAAGATTGTCAGGAAACAAACTAAAACAAAACACAGATGTTAGCAAGACCCGTAAGTATTATGCTGGTAGACAGAATCAAGAAGCACAGTCATTAATGGAGAGGGAAGGGTAAAAATAAATGACGGAAAGAGAAAAATCAAAGTCTGTCCCAGCCGAGATGGGGGGACAAAAACAAACTGTGAAGGCTGGGAATCTCGATATATCACAAAAAAAAAAAAAAAAAAAAAATCTGCGAACAGGCCAGGAGTAATACTTATTGATAATAAACTAAGAAAACAAATAGTATGTAACTTAAGCAGAGGGAGGGTTCACGGGAAACATCTCCGTTGTGACGAAGAGGACTTATAAAAGGAACTCAATGTTAGCCCATTTCAACCGAACCATGCTCGCTATCTTTACCAACCTTTCGCTGAAATCTGTCAATAACAAACGCTTTCTATCAGATCTTATCTTCACCTTCAGCTGATGCTGAAAGAATCCGATCAGTGTCTGATGAGAATAGCGTTCGTATCGCAAGATTCCCTTCATCCAGCGTCGTCTAAATCACCATTAGCGCCACGGTTAGCAGCATCAGAAACACCATTCGTTTCTATCCAGAATAAGGGGGCGACACATTATTACCCACATATACGATATCGATGAGCACGAGAATATCGGTAGCGATACGACCTGTCAATTCTCCAACATAGTTCCAGAAAGGGCGCAACTGAGGACAATGGTAGAAGTCGTGTGAAACCGTTTCTTCTAATCCAAGGTCACACCGATGACAGTCGGGAAAATCTGCCCAGCCCCATCTGAAAATACTGTCATGGAGAGATAGCACGTTCCGAAAGAATCGCCAGGTAAGCGAAAACTCGGGGTTACTGAGGTAATTCGCCAATAGCGCCCAAGACTAGAAAGAGCGCAACTCGGTCGCCGACAAGCCGAGCCGCTCACAGAGTGAATCCTTCGCGACCCACCTCCACTAATTCACGATACAAGACCCTCTGAGTCCGTGAAAGGTCAGTGGACCGAGGAACGACCCTCAAGGTCGCTCGACACTCGCTGAGGAAACTCGGCAGTCTCCTGGATTTACGACGGCGCTTAGCCCAGGAGGTGGGGGGAATGATGCTAATACTAGGGAAGGCGTCCCTAACACTCCCTTGCCAAAATCAAATCATCAGACTAAACGCGGCGTGGGAAAGCCAGTCTCGAGGCTTGTCGATGACTCACAAAGCGTGCCACTCCCAGCCCCCACCCATGACACGGACGCTGGACACGACATTTTTATGAGGAACATCTGCTTGCGGCCACCCCACAAGAGGGTGGACAACAAACGTTCAATCGCCTTCCTACGCTCTTTGCAAAGAGTAAGTACAACAAAACGGTAATGGATGAGAGGAAAGACGTAAGTGGCACACGCTCCGACCTTTGACTGTACTTTTCACCAATTTTTCTCCAGGTGGTGGTCGCGTCCAAACAACATTTCAAGAATGCGGACAGGACCGGCCGTCCAATCAAATGGCTCCGGAAGAGCGACCCCGTTCGAGGAACCTAACCACAAACCGAAAAACTCGTGGTTAATTTTAGCTTCCGTAACCTTTTCGTACCGTTCAAGCGCTTCTGTACTACCACAATGTCGTTGCGACACGACACGAAAATGGAAAACGGTATCGGCGTACGAGGAAACCCTGGCTCGAGCCCCATCAGGGAGAGCGATTTCACGTAGGGCCGGACTGCCCGTTGTGTCCTGTAGCCGGCGAAGGAGAGGCTCCAATGTCGAATCATAAAGAAGTGACGACAGTGGACAACCCTGACCACAGCCCTGGAGGCGCGATGCAGGAGGCTAATCCTCTTGCAGATGTTGGGTTTGAATTCGGCGGCCTGCAAGACAGCAGTCAGGTACTGATACTCGACCTTATCGAATGTCTTGGAGTGATCCAAATTCTTCAGTGCGGCTAGCTTGTCATCTTTTACACCCTCTAGGATTGTGAGAATCAGATGCAGGTTGCTCAAAATTTTTCTGCTCGGCAACTGACTGCATACGCTCCGACAGGACCTTAGCCCAAATCCTTAAATCTGTGTTTAGAAGAGTTATGGGTCTGTAATCATCTACATCCCGCCCACCATCCTTGCCCTTTTTCAACAGCATGATCCCACCCCTGGTGATCCGACTGGGGATGGACCCCTGCCGGAACCAGTTGTTGAACACGACAGTCAAAATCGGCACAAAGATGAGCGACAGCCTCTAGTACAATTTATAGGGTAAACCATGAAGTCCCGGATACTTGTTACTGCCAGCCCTCTTCAATGCCAAGTAGACTTCGCCCTCTGTGATCTCACCCTCAGAGCTAGCCACTCCAGTCGGTGAAAGCCGAGGAAAGTCAGCTCTGCAGACTCATCGCCACTCCAGGATCCGAAACCCCCGAAACCCCCAACCATGTCATCCGTCGAGCTCAGAGTACGCTCCCCCGCGCTTTTGATCTCACGAATGTATCCATCGGAACCTGGACGGATCTCTTACTTGTGCAATTGTGCACCCATGTTCACGGCTTCGTTAGACATCTTGTTTAACCTATGCTAAATAACCTGACCTTTGTAGTGCTCGCTAGTCAACCGTTCAAGAGCCTGCCTAGCTTAACTAGGAAATTTCGCCCGGGACAGAATATCCTTGAGAACCTTCACATTTTTAGCCTCATCTAGTGCGAGCCGCTGGCTATATTCGGTGGTGAAGGACCTAATCCTATCCTTAAAACTCTCCCACTATCTAATCCCAATAATCACCCCACTAGTTCCAGCTTCACTAGTCTTATTAGCTGTTCCTGAAAGTCTCGCCTGTCCAGTAAAGACAGATTGAACTTCCAGTGCCCCAGCATTCTAGGCCTAGCATCTAATATTATATGGGCACAGACGAGTCTATGATCGGATTAAATTAACCAGTGGAACCTGAGACAGTCTAATAAGTCTATATCAGCCCTTCCCATTAACATTCTGTATAGGTAGCTGGTTACCCAGGTAGACGGTCATTTACGTGTCCACGTCTTTCGTATTTTCACCATTATTGGAAAAATTTTGATTCTTCTTTTATTTCTTGACAATTTCTAATTCATTAGTCTTCTTCATTTATCCATTCTTTTAAGTCATTCAAAGTGAGGATATTCAGTGGATCATCTTCAAGCGTAAGTCTTAATGTTTCGTTCAGATTCGGCAATCTTTGTTTATTTGCAAATTCAACGACTTAGGAGCTTCGTCCAATTTGTCAATAATCTCTAATTCCTGATGTAACGTGAAAGAATTTCTTTTCCTTTTTTCTTCCAGTTGAAGTTTCTTCTCTGGATTGAAAAATTTCATCTTGCTAACAATTATCTGCAAAGATAAAAAAATATTAAAATGTAACATATTCCTGCAAAATCTAAATGGCAAAACTGAGAAGATTGGATAGTGATTTTCCCAGCGTAGCTTAGGTGTGACACAAGGCCGAAATTAGGGGTTATCCTCTGAGGATCGAACTTACTACGCAGTCGTAATTGTTACTGGGGAGCCAAGCTTGCTAACCATTACACAACCTCGAGGTGACCCTGCGAAGATCGGATATGAGGATTTCTATTGTATTAAATTTATTAAAAAAAATATTTGAAAAAGATCGTTTTAGCAAATCTGCGTAAAACACTGGTATTTTTAATGTTATTTAAATAGATTGGTCGAGGCATAAAAACCTAAGGAGAGATGTTCGTAGTCATTAGTTTTTCTTTTTTTCTGTTGATTATTGCTTATTTAAGCATTTTTAGCTTTTCATACGCAATAAAACATTCTCCAATAAGAAAGAGGTAATCGAAACATTTGAACTGTTTATCACCTGAAAAGGTGTGAATTTTTTTAAAGATGGGATCAACAATATAGAGCTACGTTGAAGAACAGTCATTTATCAATAAGGTGCTTATTTCAAATAAATAATTTATTTATTTCGCATTTCAGAAGCGTTTTATTCATTTCCTATAAAGTACCTTATTTAATGTGTGACAACTTAATACAATAATAGGTACGGTTACCTTATAACTGGAAATACTGATAAAGTGACTAGCTTAAGGAAAAGGTTGAAAACAAATTCTTTCTATAATTTCTCTTTTTCTTTTTTGAAGAGGTCCCCGAAAATTTTATCTCCTATTTTTTTTACTTATTTTTTTTTTTTTTTTTTTGGACGTAAACAATGAAGGGCTAGACATCCTGGTAACCAATATTTCCGGGCGATTGACTAAACATTGTTGGAGAAGTTAACGCGTCCTGGCGAAAAGGTTACCCGGAAATATGTGTGTGGTCAGGTTGGAATTGACCAGAGGAAAGCGAAGCGGGTAGGTAAGGACAATTCTTGGATGGTGATTGTCTGTCCCGAGGCTACTCGGAACTATGCGCACGGTCAGGATATAGTTGGCCAGAGGTAAGGGGAGTCAAGGGAAGCCAATAACGATAAATCTCGGCTAGCGAGTGGCTGTTCCGTTCGTGTGAGAGTGTCCACTGGGACGAAGCGAGTGGGGAATTAGGATTAGTAGGAAGATACAAGTTATAGTGGTCGGAGGGCTGCCGGCGATTGGCCTGGGAACACTTGAAATATCAACCCCACCCATTTTCGATATGAGCAGGTGTTTGGGCCGCAAATAACACAGTGTGTGTGGGGGGGTTGTCACTTGGTCCCGATTGGGAATCTGTCGGGCCTGACGGCCGGACCCGCGAGATTCGAGTGGGTGATGGGCGTAAGGGGTTATACATCATCAAAGGATGTGAATTTTTTTTTTAATTCTTTTTTCTTCTTTCTAGTCTTCCTTCGAATTCATTCTTTACCGCCGTAATTATCGGCATATTACGTGTGTTTATTAATTCCATTTTCTCAAGTGGTTTACTGAAGTCTTAGTCTTCATCCAGGATCCTATACTCACTGAACATTAAGCACGATTTTTCTTTAATTTCTTCTACCTCTAAATCATAAAATGAAACATTCTGTTCAATGTTGAATTTATATTTGATCGTGAATTACGTATTTGTCATATTTTCCTTAAATTTGCTTATCATGATTTATATATTTATTTTGAAAACCTATCCTCAAATGAATCAATTGATCGATTTGAAATTAGTTGTCAACGATTTCAACAAAACCGATAAAAGGCAATGACCGGGGATCTTTTCCATTAATTCTCCCCAGATAATCTAAAGTCACTTATCGCAAATATTAATTCACCCCAAGAAATTATAAAATTCAAATGAAAGTTTTTTTGTTTTTTTTTATTAAATTTTAGGCACTCTTGAAATTTTAAATTCTAAATCAAAATCTATCTGGCTTGCCTCGCAACAACCACAAAACAAAATTACCAAAATTTAGTGAGTTATTCACATTTCGTAAATGCGGTTGATATTCGAGATACTTACAGAGAATTTTTTTTAATTTAAAAAAAAAAAACCCCAAAAATCCATTTTTGGCTTGTTTATCGGGGATAGCTCAAACGCAGACCCCACACTTTGAAATAGCCCACTGGTGTCGCCCGCATTTCGTGTGATCGCAACGGTCAACCCAACTCAGGTGAAATGGAGGGGCCTCGCTCTGGAAGAATTTGATGTGAATATTATTCAATGTAAATTCTTTTTATTTTGAGGTGAATTAACAGAAAAGATTCATGACTCAACCAGACGAAAAATAAACGAAATTAAAAAGATCACTTTTATTTCCAGTAGCGACAGGAAATCACCGCATATCATATTTTGTAAAAATTCATTTAGTTTCTTCCAAAAAAAGAAATGAAAAAAAAAGAAAAAAGCGATACCTATGTTTTAAAATGCATTTTAAAAATTAAACATCTTTTATTTTAGTTTTCTCTTTAACTCCAAGATTAAATTTAATATTTCTAATGAGCAAAATATTTTACTATATTTCAAACTGAATTTAAATTGATTGAAATGATTTTACCTTGAAAAATCGTCCATACTGACAAATCTGTCAAACCAACACAACTAAAAAAATAAAATAAAATATACTTTTCTAAAATTTAATTTATTGAAGATTGACTAATTTAAAGTTCAGGTATTTTCAAGTTCTGAGTATTTTTTCATTATATAATGTCATGTTTAGCGATTCTTTGGAGATACCTACATTTGTTGCGTCATATTCTACATAAGTTAATTAGGTTTAACAATAACAACAACAGAAATATGGAAATTACTTAATTTCCATTTATTTGAAAAGATGGTAATTGCCGAAAATATAAAAGATTTTCTTAAATAAAAACAAACTTTTACAATAAGGAAATAAACTAAGAAAAAAAAAGTATATTACGGGGAAACATTCAAGCGTTCGCAGAAAAGATGACGTCATTGTAAGGTGTTGCCTATCAAACAAAGTATAAATTGACTGAGGTTAACTGCAAAAGCTACAGTCGACGTTTTACATTTGGACACAAGCGTCTGCCTCACCATGCGTTGTTCTATCGAAGTATTACTGCTAGCTTTTCTCGCCACACTATTTCGCCAGAGCGTTGAAGCGGAACTCACAACTAAGCCGAGTGAAATCATCGGGGGAATAAGAAAATTACTGATTCACGAGAAAGAAAACACGGTAAACAAGACAAATATTCCGGACTATAATATATTCGGTCAAATAATAAGCTTCCTCAATTGTGGACCATTTCCTCCTTTCACCAAACAGCCACTTGCAATATTCTTTCGATTTTGCCACAAAAAATCTCAGATTATTTCAGACATGTGATCGATACTACCAAACGGACAAAAAAAACGAATCTTTACAAATTCAATGCAAATATAAAAAATGGATCTTTAACGAGATTGGCTGTGAAAAAGTTACCTGCCCTCTTCTGACACCGCCACTCGGCGGTTACATTTCAACTAACGCCAATACTTTCAACACAACAGTATATTTCTGGTGTTCCCGCGGTTTCAGTATTAACGTTACAGATAAACTGTCCTGTGAAGAAAATGGTCTCTGGAACTTGCCACCACCGACATGTCACGTGTCATACTGTCACCCGATTCCACCACCCCGATATGGTTCCGTGTCTAGCCAGGAAGAAATAGCTGTCAATCAAACTATTGAATTTAGCTGCCAAAATGAATATTCTTTAATCGGAGATGCCATTCTACGATGTCAAGACGATGGCAGGTGGAATACTGTGGCACCAGTTTGCAAGAAGATGTGTACTGTTCCTAATATTACAAGTCAATCGGAAGGTGTACGCTTGCTTCCCGGATTTAAGGAACTTCCGGTCGGTTCTCTGCTCTAACAGGGACAACGTGTCATTTTCTCCTGCAAACCTGGCTACACAGTACCTTCATCTGGTCTTTCAACCTGCATTGGGGGAACCTGGAGACCACCGATTACCTGCAGAAAAATGTGTGCCGCGGTAGAAATAACGAACGGGAAATACAATCTATCGAAAGATTACTCCACTATTGAATATTCTTGTCTGCCTGGATACCAGCTCGTCGGTCAGCAAAAACTAACGTGTATGTCTAACGTAACGTGGGACAGTGAAGCCCCTATCTGCACCAAAATGTGTACGCTTTCTAAACGGGAAGAAGTGTTGTCTTTCCGACAAAAAGAAACTTATGAATTCATCCCTTTTGGAACGCAGATTATTAATGGAACACAAGTGTATTCTGTATGTCGATACAATACATCGATGAGCAGTGTTGTAGAATGTATTAATGGCGAACTCAGTCCCACGTCATGTAAAGACTCAAGAGTAAGACTATTAGGAGGATTTTTACAAATTTTAGATAACCAACAATGGAACTCTATTTGCATATCTACATCTGACACTTGCAGTGTATTTGGTTATAGCCAACAGCTCAGCTACTATGCTAAATGCTCACAGTGTTTCAATATAGATTTGGATGTTTATCGTGAAACATCGCGTATTGTCTTGCAGATTCAGCGAAGCAACTACAGATTTCAACAATATAAGTGCGTTACGTGCACATAAGCTGTATTCTCGTACAAATCGAAAAAACAAAACAAACTAATTTGCTTGTTTTTCAAAATCAACCTTAACATAAACAATCTTTTTTTCATAGAAACAGCTTCCTTCTGCGGCTAGATTTAAAAAAAAACTGATACAGATTCACGCATTTTATTGAGAATAGATACAGACCTTTGCTTTGGTAAAATATGTTTACAGTATTCCACTAAAGACTTGGTTATAAAGAGCTCAGCTTCAATATTAAATGCTCACAGTGTTCCACTATAGACTTGGATGCTTATCGTAAAACATCGCGTATTGTCTTGCAGACTCGTTATAGCAACTACAGATATCAACAATACGACTGCGTTATGTGCACATAAGCCGTATTCTCGTACAAATCATGGAACAATATTTGCAACGATGGAACAATATTTGCCTATCTTCATTTGTCACTTGCAGTGTATTTGATTATAAAGAGCCCAGCATCGGTCAAAGATGTTTACAGTGTTCCACTATAGATCAACAAAGTTATATTCACCCGTAGAAATTCACCTAGAAATCAAAAAAAAAAAAAAAAATTAGTAATTTGCTTGTTTTTTCAAAATCATATATAAATCTGTGGCTAGGTCTAAAAAAAAACCCAAAACAACTGATAAAGATTCACGCGTGTTGTTTAGGATAGATACAGACCATTTGCCGAATTCTTTAACATAGGTAAAAAAAAAAAAGCATAGATTTTGAAAGAATATAATCGTAGATATCAGAAAATACTTGACCTATACAAAAAGAAAGCGGTCCGTGCTCCATAAGGGTAAATTGAAACTCCTTATTTTTTTACAACAATCCCCTTTTTTTTTTAATTTTCATCTTATGTAATCGGAAATTTCTCCTTATATACAAAATAAAATCATGAAAGATTTCCCGCGATTGTTACAGAGACTCTTGCAAATAGAGTGGCTCTCGGGTCTGTATTTGTGATGTCTTCTGAAGGAGCACAGCATCTGTATTTTTGATTCAACCTTTGAAACTCTAAATGAAATGGACATATATCATTGTACAGGCTTTCAGAACGGTACGAAATGTTATCTTTGGAAAAAAAATGGCAAACGGGCAGTGTTGGAATCAAGAGTTTTTATTTGAAATTTACTAATATTCTGTAATTCTACAAAAAATGACTTACCATTTAGTAAAAGAGAATATACAGTTGATTTTTATTTGTTTCTCATAAAATTTTAGACATGTCTCTAAAATTTGAATCATAGCTCAACGATGTTAAAATGTTACAAATTATTAATTCTGTATTGATTTTTAACTTGGGTATTGTTAAATATTTGGATTGAAATTGTCTATTTCTAAAATGTCATAAGTCTTTTCTATGTAGCATCTATCAATTAAAATTTTGCAAAATATACTTTTTTTGTCTATTTATCTTTTACAAAATGTTTCCTATTTGAAATATTCTTCGAAAAGGCATTCGTACACGATTTTAATCCTCCGTTTGAACACCTCACAAAATGTAACTCCAACGAACATCTGCTTCTTGTCATATTTTTGCGTGAATCACAATCATATGTCGTAAACTAAAGACTGTCTGTCATAATTGTGGTAGAAACGCATTCAAAGGTCATAATAAGTTTTTTGTTTATTGCTTAGAATAAGTAAAAGCAGTTGAAGGGTATCAGACGGAAGATAAATCGTTTTAAAAGATATTACTGGTATTAAAATATAACCATCTTTTTTTACATGTTTTAATTTACAAATTCATTATTTTGAATATTGATCTTTGAATTCGATCTTTAAAATAACTTTTGTTAATATTTATCCTATAAAATTAGAAACAAAATTGAAGACAACATATAACAGAAAAAAAATGATCAAATTTGATTTTTGAAAAACTTACTTTTCGTGAAATACCTTTTTGTTTAATGCTTTGGCGACCATCATTAGTGATGTTTTTAGTCGAGATTCATTAGGGGTTTCTGATCTTTCAATATCATACCAACTCTCTTGCTGATAACATAGTATTAATACTGGGACAATACACCAGAGTTCTAGCGGAGGGTTTAAAATCCATCCAATCTATAATTATTTTCTTGCATGTTCGCCAAAAGATCTGAACACCAAAAACATCCATATAGAATAACACAGACGCACGCGCTCAGATATCTTCCGCGTTATATATATAAATATATATTATATATATATAAAACCAGCTTATGACGATCCGTTTATATAAATGTATATGTTTATATATATTTATCTAGGTCTGCTCTACGGTTGTATTGAGTTTTTAATAGTTATTGTTTATATATATATTTTCGGGAGAAACCTGCATAATAGTTTTTTACAGATATATGTTTGTATATATTTATTTTTTTAAATATTTTTATATATATATTTATTATAAATCAAAAATTCGAAGGTCTTTCAAAACGATTATATTAACTATATATATATATATATATATATATATATATATATATATATATATATATATATATTATGTATGTATTTATATATATATATATATTTTATATATAATAATATATCTGGCATAAAAATTCGCCTCTAAGAGGATTTTATATTTCCACACGCTGTATCTCTGATATTGGGAATTTATCCCATACATACATAAGGATATAATAAAATATATATATAAATATATATATATTCCATGGTTATAATTTATTCCATTGGAATCGTAAATACGATCTAATTCATCAGCCCTCCAAATTCAAAAAGAAATCAGGAAAAATAAATCCGGGAATTAAAAATAAAATTTAGTGAGAGTGTAATCCTTCAAAAATTAAATGTGAGAGGTAAATAAATCTAGAGAGGGGGTAAAAGATAAAGAAGAACAGGAAGGCTTAAAAGTGAAGGTGGGGATTAAAATTTAACAGAGAAGTTTTAAAAAGGAGTTTAAATGAAAATTTAATATATATATATATATATATATATATATATATATATATATATATATATATATCGAGAGAGAGAGATAATATTAGTTGCTAATATATATATATATATATATATATATATATACCAGCAGCATGGGCCGGCATTTCCTGTGCTTGATTCAAAAATCGTAATACAGCAAGATATCACTTGACTTAAAATATTTTGCCCTTCCTTACCTTTAAAGGAGTTCCTTTGCCGTGCTGATGCTGCTATTTTACTTCTTGCCTATCTCACACTTTATTTTTTCTTCTATACAAACATTAAATGTGTTACGGAAAATGAACTAAACAAAAGGAACATAAAACGATTAGCTTTTTGAAGGACTCGTAACTGGTTAATGAAAAAGAATTTAAAACAAATACTTTTTCATGTCCAACCCAGTTCTGAAGAATCAGAATCAACATTGAGTTTAAGCAAGCGAATGAGCCAATTGGAGTAAAGTTGCAGATTTAAATTTTTCCCACTTGTGACGAATCTGATTTCGATTTTTTGCATTTGCATTAAAAGTCAGCTGTTCACGCTGGCTAATAAATCTTCCTTTATTCGTGGCAATATGATTCTCACCAAAAAATGGCCGCAAACTGAAAACTGCCTTAGAAGCATGAAAAAATCGATTATTTCCACGATCGATGGAAGTTGGGAAATAATGTCGGTCTTGGCCTTCCCAATAGATTGGAGCATTGCATTAAATTTTGGTAAAATCCGTCGAAAATTGCGGCCATGCATTCGTTTTTTCACACACACACACACACACACACACACACACACACACACACACACACACACAGCCTGCCTTTTGTAGATAGAGATTTCCTATTTATATGTTATCTTATTAGATACAATTTATTTGAGTAAATGATCTGTTTTTTTTTTAAACCTTTGGTTGAATGGTTAATATCACATCAGATTCCCATTGGGTTTATTCCTATATATATTTTATATATATTTGTCGTCCAGGCTGGTGTGTAATGTGTATTTATTGAATAAATGATTATAAAATACCGTATTTTAACAGAAATATATTAAATAATTGTATTAACCCAAAGGCATCGAAATTATTTTGTTTTTAAATAAAATCTAAGTAGCATTCGATAGAAAAAAAAATTAAATCAAATCGAAATATGTTTTTTTTTGTTATTTTTTAAAGGATACAAACTTTTTTTGATACTGCAGTCGCAACGCTAAGCGAATTTTTGGAAAATTTATAAGAAATTTCTAATATATCAATTTGACATCTGAGGAAAGGTAATTAAATTAATTAAAAAAAAAAAAGATGTTTGTTTAAAAAAACAAGGATCATAACATTTAATTAAATAAATTTAAAATTTTGTTTGCGAAATAAAATAACTTTACTGATCTACTTTTTTAAATAAATGATTCATTTTAATATAAATTTATTTTGTACCCCATATTTGATATATATATATATATATATATATATATATATATATATATACATATGTAGTCATTCGTATTATCAATGTAATTCTATTGTCGGTCTTTCAAAATATGGTTTTTCGTTTTTATTTTTCCTAAAAGCTGGAAAGAAAACCGAAAAAATATATTAGAAGTCAAGTAAGAATTAAACGATTATCTATCTATCTGTCTGCCTGTCTGTCTATCTATTAGATATATTCAATAATTTTCCGAAAAAGCTTTATAGAATGATGAAAAAGACCCCAAAATGAATAAAAACAAAGTTTTATCGTGAAAAAGTTCATGCAATTAATAAGAGGGAAGACCAAAGCATTTTTTAATTATTTTTTTAAATTTTTTTATTCCTTTCAAGCACGTTTGAAATTTTGGTTGAAAATCTTTCTTTTTCGTCAGAGGTCGCGTAATATTTAGCATTAGTTTTTTTTTTTTTTTCAAAAAATACATTAATTTTGGAAATTCTTGCAAAAATTACCTAATTGTCGGATTTTAATAAAACTTTCAGAACTTATTCAAAATGAATGAAATTAATTCAGAAATATTTGTTTTTAGAAAGTTATGGTAAAAATATTCTTTTTACATCTGTTACTCCACTCCTTAGTTAATTTTATGAAAACTGGAATATGTGTACTTTGAAATTTTTTTATTAAAATGCAGAAGTCTTTGAAGAATATTAATCAACTTCTTTGTAAACCCAGAAGCGTGTTTACCTAAAATTTAGCTCTGAATTGTAAAATACAAAACCCAATAAAACTAAGACATTCTTTAATTAAAAAAGCTTTTATTGGGTTTTATGAATAATATATATCAAGGACATTATTCTCTGAAGCCAAAATATTTTTTCGATGAGAAATTAATTTTTACTAGAATTGTTTTCTTTTTTTTCAACTTTAAATACAAAATATGATAAAGTTGTAAAATATTTTAAATTTAAGTTTGAATATGTGTATCTCTGGAAAAGCTCTTATTAAAATATCTCTTTTTACAGATCTTAAATCTGAAAGTTTATCATAACCAGTAAAGCGTGTCTAGTTTTTGCAATTATTTTTTATTATGCCAAAAAATGTATTAAAAACGTATCCAGCAGAACTACGGAGGCCCAATTCAGAAATAATGTCCCGTGTTTTAAGAGTTGTTTCTGCTGACAGCGAGGATCCGGCCTTTTATTGCGTTAATTTCGTGCCAAACTGATTTTTCAACTGATCTCCTGATTTTTAAAGTTAAAAACTCTACATTTTATTTTAGTTTTTTAAGTGTGTATTGAGTACTTTTTAATGCTACTATTTCCTGGTTTGATTCAACTGAGATCATTAACCTTATATATATATATATATATATATATATATATATATATATATATATATATATATATATATATAAACATTGAAGTCAACATTTAGAGGCGACAGGCTGTTTCATGCTATATGCAATCGTCAGGCCTGACGATTGCATCTAGTATGAAACAGACTGTCGCCTCTAAGTATTGACTACAATGTTCAATTTTATATTTACACACGCTTTATCTCTGATATTTAGCACTTTATCCCATAAATATAGCACACTTTAAGAGCATATTTCTTCATATCTATCTATCTATCTATCTATCTATCTATCTATCTATCTATATTAGAATTAGGAAATGTATTAAGTTCGACATATTTCTAATTTATTTGTTTTTAATTTTAAATGGATACTCATATTTGAGTAGATGCTCTTTTTTATTTATTTATTAAAAAGTATATTTATTTATTTACATACACCGGTCTGAATATTCGAGAAATTTTGTTAGAAAAATATGCGCACTCCGCCAGGATTCGAACTTGCATCCCCTGGGGTAAATCGCCATTGAGAAAAGTATGAATTCATCTCTTCTCCCCCAAACATTTACTTACAGATTGGATCCTATAGCCTTGAGTGGCAACCAGTCTAGGAGAAGGAGACTCTCAATTTAATCAACATGCTGCCTTGTAGGTACTCCCTCATTCGGCAAAGACTCGGGTGGCTACAAGAAGGTAAATTTAGAAACAAATCCATCTCCGAGAAAAAGGGATGGGGTTAGCCCAACATCCACAGGGCAAAAGTAACTGTCAAAACATTGTCCTATTCTGGTATGAACGGCACCACGATTGTGAGATGAAGGGGAGGCATCATTAAATCTGATGTGCTTTAGACCAAGTCGGCCACGTAGGACTTCCTAATGAAACAAAGCCGGAATAGTGCTTTTCAACACGTAGGACTTCCTAATGAAACAAAGCCGGAATAGTGCTTTTGAACATGTATCTCCCCGATTCTCGATATATATATATATATATATATATATATATATATATATATATATATATATATATGTTTGAATAAAAACAGACCACTTTAAGGTTCCATGTAATAAGTTATTTCACCACAACCCCATTAACAGGGCTCTGGATCATAAGACTTTACTTCCAAAGGTTGAAATGAAAAATGAAAAGAAATTCACACGTTTTTGACGGACCGCATCAAACCTATGTAAAATTAACGAAGTGAGGAAGTGAGGTGGGAGAGAAGATATGAGTGGGTTAGATGTACCATTTCAATTCCTTATTCTTAACCCCACTGTGTGTCGGCTAGACGTCGCTTAAACTTAACGCGTATTGTCTCTAGATATAGATGGGTAAGGGTGAGGAAGAAGACCGACATTAAAGGAAGAAGCTACAACAACCTAATAAATTACATTCCACGAGGGCAGGTTACATTCAAATTCTTAGACGCTGTTAATTCGCATTATATATATATATATATATATATATATATATATATATATATATATATATATATATATATATATATATATATATATATATATATATATATATATATATATATATATATTTATGCTGTATCTAACTTAAACAAAGAAAATTTTTTTAAAGAAAATGACGGTTTCCACTACGGGACGCAGGTTCGAATCCTGCTGGACGGACCATATTTTTCAATCAATATTTCTCGAATATTCAGGCCGATAGATATAAATATACTGTTTAATAAATAAATAAAAAAAATGCGCAAAATGAGTATCCATTTAAAATAAAGTTTAAACAAATAAGTATATATATACTCGACTCTCCCGTCGAATTCAAGCAGATCAGTTCCTAGGAAACCGACAGCCCGACAACATCACATGAGATTTGATTATAGTGGTGAAGGTTTCGTGCAGGACCATCCACACTTTTTGAAGGGCCGAATACAGAGACCTGGTGTACTACGTACCACAAGGTCCCCAAACGACCCTCCGCAGGTTTGGAATTCAGAGTGGTTCTTCTCTTAGACCAGTTGCCATCCAAGACTATAGAACCCAGTCTGTCCTGCTATTTACCCATAGTTGGAGGGAGAAGAAGAGGATTCGCACTTTTCGCAAGTGAATGCAATGAATTCGACTGGAATTCGAACTCGGCTCTCCGATTCCTGAATCGAAACCGCTATCCATTACTGGAACGTGTTGTTTTATTTTAACATCCAGCCTTTGCGTCGTTCTCCCTCTGTAGTGCGAACCGCAACTACATTTAAAAGAAGAAATCAACGAACTATTAAGATGTGGAGGGAGAACATCCTTACACATAGACGGGAGGACAGACTTGGCAAAGAAAACAACACGAGTGTTAGCTGCAAACAATGTCGAACTGTGGTAGAAACCTGCTTAGCAAACCTATCACTGATACTACCCAGCCAAGGAAGGCGTAGTTAAACAGGACATCTTTTTACTATAGCAGGTTTGACTTTGTTAAATTCAGCAATTTTATTCGTAGTAATTGCTTGAACAATGCCTAATGGGTAGGCATTGTTGCAGAGAGTAGAAGTAATAAACCTAAGTTCATCATCCAACTTGATGTTAGAAGAGATCATAAGAGGCCTATGGGTAAGGGTCTTAATTAAATTAATTTTGCGCCTCTGGGACAAAAAAGAATCCCAGCGGGTATACAAACCAGTAAACGTCGATTTATATACGCTTATACGCTTACACACACACACACACACACACACACACACACACACACACACACACACACACACACACACACACACACACACACACACACACACATATATATATATATATATATATATACACGTAGTTGAAAGAAGATTATTGGATAGATTATAAGATCTGTTAGCCAATAAATTTCGTCATTATTCCATCGCGACGATTTTCTAATGTGCTGTTATCTGAAAATTTACATATACAAGGGTGGACTGAAAAGGTCATAGGCTGACTCTGAATTCGTGATGCTAAAACAGTGAAATCGTACATGCATGAATTTGAACCCTTCTTCTTAATAACTGCATTGTTTCTTACCAGGTAAAGTGGCATCTGACTGTCCATTGAAGACTTCAAAAGTAACTTGTAGAGATTTCTCTTGAAAATGGTTAGAATTTGGCATCTTCGTGTTATGAAACGCCTACAGAAAAAAATGTTTTTAGTTCCCCAAAGACATTCATGATGACATGGTTGTTACATTAACGGATGACGTTTCAGCTTTATCAACAGTGAATTTAAATTGATTTGAATGATTTTATCTTGATTTTCAGTGCAATCGCTAAAATCGTCCATGTTGACAAATCTGTCAACATAATTCTATTAAAAATATTTCAAGAATAAAATATACTTTTCCAAAACTTTATTTAAAGAAGATTTACTGATTTGATGCCTACTTAATCGGAATTAAAAAAAAAATATATATTACTTCTTTTTAGTTCGAGGTGACATTCACGGCAGAATAGTGCAATGGTTTGCTGCTTCCTTTTGTATAGGTACCTCCACTTGGTTGCGTAAAAAACAGCATAGCATAATGAGAAAAAGGCCACAAACTCAATAAAACCAAAGTTTTATCATCAGAATGTTTATGTTATTATTAAGAGGAAAGACCAAAGCATTTTTTATTATTTTTTTGAAATTTCTTACTCCTTTCTAGCACGTTCGAAATTTTGGTTAAAAATCTTTATTTTTTTTTATTTTTATTTTTTTTAAACATCGGCGAACTAGAAAAAAAAAGTCTTATTTTGCGCTTTTCCGAGGAAAATCACACTGATTTCGAAATTCTTGCAAAATTCAAATAATTGTCGGATTTTAATGAAGCTGTCAAAACATATCTAGAAATGAATGAAATTATTTTTGAAATTTTTTGTTTTAGAAAATCTTGGTAAAAAATATTTTTTTAACATATGTTACCACCCACTTAGATAATTTTATGAAATTTCGAGAAATTAAATTTTTAAGCGGGGGATTTTTCATTAGTAAAAACCAGGATTCCTTGGAGAAAGTAAATAATTTTTTTTTGAAAATCAGTTACTTGTTTCATCAAAAACTGCTCTGAATTGTAAAATAAAAAAATGCAATAAAACTAAGACATTATTTAATTAGAAAAGATTTTAATTGCTTTTGTAAATAAGTTATATTAAGAGCACTATTGTCTGAAGAAATAAAATTTTTTCGATGAATAATGAATTTTTACACGAATTTTTTCACTTTTTAAAAATTTTAATTTTAATTATATAATATTTCAAAAATCGTTTAAAATTCTTCATTGATTTCAAGACTGCGTTTTGGTGACATCGTTAAGTGAAAAGTAAATTTATGAATCAAAAATTGAAAAGGACATAACCGTCGTTTGTACCCAAATATTAAAAAAATTAAATAAGTGTTTGTGAAAAAAACTTTCCTAATTTCTACCTATGGGAATCTATACATGGCATAATCTTTAAATAGGTCACGTGATTTAGTGTCGTCTCACGCACTGCAACTCTTTCAATTTTAATATTCAGTTGTGTTTCATCATTAACGTCTTTGCAAATCATTCCTTCAAAATATCAAAAAGAAGTTTTACTTTTCTTAATTGCTATTTCACTAAATATTTTTATTTTATGTATTTATTTTAGTTTGGGTCATACTTTAATTAATTAATTAATTTTTTGTTTAAGGAAGTAAACTTAAGAACCTAGAAACAAAATACAAATTTCATAAACTTCTTCAAAGCTAACTAAAAGTCAATAAAACATTAAATAATTTCTAAAAAATATGTTAATTTGTAAAAATTGCGAGGTAGTTAAAAAAAATGCGTTCATTTAGTTTTCGTAAATATGTTATTTCTGGTCATCTATAAAAGCTGTTGTAGTGACTACTACTACGTTTGGTACGCCTACATTTTTCTCAATTGTGATTGGTTAAATAATAAATACTAATTATCACAGGACAATTTACTGATCGCAGTCACCACACGGACGACCGGCTGAACGGTTGAACTCTCTGCCTTAGGGCGGGGAGGAACCTGAACGAGGCTATGCCGAAGGGCAGAGTCTCGTTCGGGGAGGTAAACCGACCCTGAACCCGTTTATACGGGTTCAAAGGGTATATTTTTGGCCGAGCCTACGGGCTCGGAGATCCCACGTTAAACCGGCCTTGTACCACATGATACCCTCATGGGGGTGGTGACTAAATACTAGTCACCACACTGAATTTTTCCTACTGTTAATTCACCAAAATGCTTTTGTTATAAAATCACCGATTGGTTAATTTTTCATCCAATCAGATATTTTTTGTGTTCTTTCAAAATTTCTCCCGCCTTTGTTCCCGGAGCCTACCGGTGGTAATAAAAACGA